TCTGGCGTGGAGGACAGGAAGGCGGGTGGGGAGGGGGATATTGCTTGGAGGGAGAGTCCCCCTCCCTACAGGAAGCCACGACCACGTGTCATGGCAGGGAAAATGGCCGCGGATCCTGTTCGTCACCCGATCCGGCGTTCGCGAACGGAAGCAAAATTTTGCGAACGGTGCTGTTTGTGACCCGAATTGGTCGTGAACAGAAGCGTTCGTGACCCGAGGTACCACTGTACAGTACACTATGAAGAGAGAGAACGCTAACCTTGCTCAACGCGACTTCTGGCGTGGAGGACAGGAAGGCGGGTGGGGAGGGGGATATTGCTTGGAGGGAGAGTCCCCCTCCCTACAGGAAGCCACGACCACGTGTCACGGCAGGGAAAATGGCCGCGGATCCTGTTCGTCACCCGATCCGGCGTTCGCGAATGGAAGCAAAATTTTGCGAACGGTGCTGTTGGTGACCCGAATTGGTCGTGAACAGAAGCGTTCGTGACCTGAGGTACCACTGTACTTTATCCAGTTCTGGCACTACAGGTTCAAAGAAAGGCAATGACAATGATCAGGAGTCTGAAAACCTATATAAGAACTGGATATGTTCAGCCTTGAGTACAGCTGACTGTTCAGAGATTTAATTTAATGTATTCAATGTAGGCATTGTCCAACTCCAAACTGACTCTGGGCAGTGTACAATAAAAACAAATAAAATACAAAACACAAAGAATGCAGTATATTAACCAAGTAATAAGAAAGGAAATAAAAAACAAGAACAAATGGTGACTCTGGCTAACAGCCCCCACAACCCCAAACATTTCCAATGGGGGCCCAACACCATAACCTAAAGCTTGGGAGAAGATCCAAGATATAGCATATATATATAAAAATATAGGTATACTCACACACTCCCTCTCCTTCCCTCTCAATATATGTATATGAGATTCTTCACATACAAGAAAGGCAGAACCTCTTCTCTACTGTTCCAAAATGCAGGATACAATATGATGGTCACAGTTACTGGATGGTTGGGAAAAACATAATAATAAAAGCAGTGGAACCAATTATTTAAAATAGTATTGGGCTCTCCCCTTGGATGTGTTCTAGCAGAGTGCAGGTAAACATTTGTTGATGGTTCTTTAATCTGGATTCCTGAACTGAGTAGGAAGTTGGTCTCGGTGATAATCCCTTCCATCCAGAAGATGCTGGAAATGACTATGATCTATCTATTGTTCTAGTTACCATTCCCCAATGCAGGTGCAGATTATTGTGGGCATATGATTGTGGGACTCAGAGTTGTCACTTCTGTTGTGCCCTTGTAGAGAGTCCATTATTTGCTCGGTCTTAAGACAATATAGAATACTGCAAAAAGGCGGTAACTTACAGTACATGGATGATAGTTATATCAGTCAGAAGTAAATAATGTGATAGGCCTAATTGTTCTTATTCTAGATGGGAATAAAAGTAACAATAAGTAATACAGGTATAAAGGTTGCAATTTACCAATTTGTTTAGTTGCTTAGCAAATAATTGGATTGTAAGTTGTTCCAATTTATATTTAAAAATATTGACAGGACTGTGTACTGAAGGTTTTATTTAATCTTCTTTCACAAGCGATATCTGTCTATATTAGAATGCTTCTTCTTCTACTCACTTCCATTTGTATTTTATTATGAAGAAATATAGGATCCATCCCTTGTTGCAGTGAAAATAAATGGATAGAGGAGCCCATCCCTGAAAACTCATGGAGAGAACAAACAGCTGCCTTAGATATTTGTCAGAGTAGAAAGGCTAGGTATGCATCGAATGAATGAATGAATACATAAATAAATAATGCAATCAAAGAAATAAAATCAGGGCTTATCTTTAGCTCTCAGTTCTATTGCAAGGATGTTTAATGCTTGTCCTTCCTCATGCAGGGAAAGAAAGCTGTTTTGAAAGGATAATGCAGAGGTTCGGGCGGAAAGCTGTATACATTGTAATAGGAGATGGTGTTGAAGAGGAACAGGGGGCCAAAAAGGTACAGCTTTTCTATTTAGAATTCCAATTAAATTAAAAATAAATAAATTAAAAATTAAAAAAAAACTTACCTAAAATAAGGACAAAAAATCCTTCCCTTTCTAAGGTATTTACAATTAATCAATTTTTCCAGCTCGAGAACCCATAAAGTGTTCTAACCAATTTCTTGCTGTAAATCCTGCTTCCATTTCCCTTAGCACTTATTGAGGTCTTTCCAACAATTTTCACTTGTTACAGATACTACTCTTGATTAACAGCACCATTGTTAGACACATAATAAGGAGCAAGATCTGTATCATAACCTGTCTTTGTTCATTTCTACTTCATGGTTACACTTCTAAAAGCAAGAGGATTAAATACAGCACCATGAAATGGAAGCTAGCAAAGTGATTTAATAAGAAATTAGTTTTCTCTACTTTTTCTCTATTTCTTTTTTCTTTTAACTGATCTGTGGTAACTGAAAAATAACAGAAACAGAGACTGGATTTCTGGTATACTGTATAACAAAACTGTAAATATATTGATACAACTGCAATTGGCTGCAATTCCCACAAAGGTGAAACAGGCTGAAAGATGGATGGACAGAGTATTAGCTAGGGACCTTTATTGGACAACATGATGGAGGTCCATGATCTGATCTTCCAACTTTTTAAATGCTAGAAAATAACTTTCATGGGGTAAACAGTGCAGAAGGGGAGAGTTAGATCACCACTAAAGTACTGGATGGAAAACAAGAAGAAAATTGGTGGTCCTTGCTAATCATCCACAGCTCTCCAGCACCAGCTTCGAAACTCTGCACCAACTTCTTGGGAGCCCTTTCTCCCATTGCTGTTTCCCTAAACTAGATACGTAGATTTCACTTTTCTTATGTATTCAGCAGTTTTCTTTCTTTGGCCGCAACAGTATTTTACAAGCAAATGTGGTGATTCTCCAAGAGTTAAAGAAGGTCTACAATGGATAAGCAGAAAGTGAAGGGATGATAAGAGTGAGGCCCCAGACAGGGCTTCTGTGGACTTCAAAAGGCAATGGGATCAGTGCACATGATTGCATCAAAGGCCACCAGGCCTTAGCAGAAGAGTTAAGCAATATCTTTTGCAAGTCTGCTCCAAGAGGCCCCTTTGCCAGTGTCGCCTGTTTTAAGCCTCCTTCCCATTAAAGGCAAGCATTCTTTGCTGGAGCTGTCAGGGCCTTTGATTGATAGTGATCATTAGCACGGGTGGCTACACACCTGAGCTTTATAAACCCATGGGAAGGGGGGCACCTTTCACTGCCTCCCCAGCAGCGCTGATGGTATCTTGGCCTGAGTGGGTCATTTCTCTTCACCTGTCACCCACATGATAAATTGATAGCAACTAAGCAGCAGGTGTGGCTGAACTGCCAACATCTCCTCTCTTAGAGAAATTAAAATAGATATTTTAAACGGAAGCAAAGCCACGTGGAAAAAGCACACAAGGGGATGGATGAGATTGGCACTCTCTCCTTTAAGCAAAAGCTGTTTTCTTTTAATTTATAGGTAATCCCCAGTTTAAGAATGCATTCTGTTCCCAAGGTCTGTCCTTAAGTCGAATTTGTATGTAAGCCAGAACAGCATTATTGTATAATACTGTATAAGTAGTATTGCATAATGAACTCAAACCATTGTGTATTTAAGTTGAATCATTGTGTATTTAACTCGAATTTTGCTACAATAGGCTCCGTTCTTAACTATGGGTCATCTGTAACCCAGGCGTTCTTAACCTGGGGACTACCTGTATTTTGTGTTATTACCCATCAATTTCACCTAATAGATTATATGAAATTATTTCATTTCATCCTTTCACCACCACCTGCATCATGGATCTTCATACCTGAGCAGAGATTTGATTTTCCTCAGTCTAAGTTGAACATGCTGCTTTCCATTCCACTGCTTAGTTTCTCACTTTTTATGGGTTAATGCATTGTTATGCAGTAGTGGCTCTGGTGAAGGAACAAGAACAGAACAATGATAAATCGACCACAAAATCCTGTGGTTCAGTAATGAGTAGGTTGGACTGAGACTTGCTTTAAATGGCACATCCGCTGCTGAGTTTGACACAAAACTGAATTGTCTGAGACAATAAATTCCTTCATCTTTTAAAATGTGGATGATGTTGGTCTGCATGAAATGGCACCTTGCTAATAAATAGCCATACGTCATTTCAACTAGAGTACAACGATTGGAGACTGTAGACCAGTGTTGTCCAAACTTGGCCACTTTAAGATGAGTGGAACTCCACCCCTCCCAATTCCCCCCCAACACTCCTGGCTGGGGGGGTTTGCGGGGTGGGAATCACCCTCCATTTAAATGTCTAGGAGGTTGTAAAAC